CCTCCTCCTCGTGCGAGCAGAACCCCGCCACCCCTCCCTAGCGGCTCGGTCTCACTTCCTCCTGCATGGAAGCAGGGGCTCGCGCACGGTCGCGCCGCCCCCACCTTTCGCTTTCCCTTGGTCGCCCAAATGGAAAATGCGCTTCTCCGTGTAAGGAAAGTCGCTGAGGTGACGTTGTTTTCAGTTTGCGGCTGTCTGCAGCCCGCTCATCAGGTCGGACCAGACTTGGGGCCTACACCGGGTGCTCATCCCAAGACAGACAATTGCAGCAGTTTGCTCCCAGCCGTCTCCTGGTGGTGCCTCGTTTTGTGGTGTTGCCTGCCTTGAGGCAAGTATTGCTCCGCTATCGTAGCTGGCGACGGCAGCATTTTCGCACCTCCCTACAATGCGCGCAAGGCATCAAGCGTCAGCGTCAAAGAAGCCACGGTGGCATGCGGTTGTCGTGTTGGCAATGCAGATCTTGCGCATTGACGGCACGGGGAACGTAAGCCCAACTCTCAGATAGAGTATTCCCTGGTTCGTCTGGGTTGACGAACATCACAAGGTCTCGTACCACCAGATCTTGGAGTCGGACCCCGCAAGTATTGCTGCAGTGGCCCTAGAATTCAACGCAGGTGTTAAACTATTGCTCGCAGTTTCCATCACAGGTATTTGCCAGGGTGCCAATCGTCTGCTGTATGTCGCTGCCTGGGAGACCTTACTTGTGTTGGCTGTGCATGAAGCCCTTCCCGGTAGGTTTGTCATTGTCAGGCACCGCCACTGTACGCAGACCAGGTGCTGGAGATCAGCACATCTGGCAAAGTAGCTGGTCCAGTTGCAGATTTCGCTTATTTGTTGACAATGCAGACGAGCCGTATGAACAAGACTTGAGTCTAGAGCATCCAAGGGCAATCGCCTCATCGGTCCTGCAATCGGCAATGGAGAGGCTTCACTCTGCGAATTGGATTATACAAAGGGAAACCCTAAGATGTGGAAGGCGAAGTATGCTTGTGCTGCGCTGGGACCTGATGACAAAATTTACTGCGCTCCACTCGAGGCCACCGCTTGCTCACGTGGAATTCTGTCCTGAGCAATGCTACGGAAAGGCGCACCGTGTCCTGCTCATCATCCCGGAGGATCACGAGGTGAGAAGAATGCCCGACTGCAAGCATCTCTGTGCCTGCCAGAGAGCTGCGCAAAGCTTCTGAGATGCTGTTGCAGGTTGAAGAGATTGGTGTCGATTTGGGAAAGGAGGTCGCAGTTTGCTTGCCATGAAATGTTGGTGCGAGTTGAAAACCACAGGAGGAGAAGTACTCATGCATCGCACCAGCCGGAGACTCACTTTAGCTTGCAGGATTTGTGTGTTTTCCTTAGATGTTTCAAGGCGCCGGTGGGACCCATGATGTACGCGGCACCGCGCAATGCACGCTTCTTGCTGGAGGCCAACAGCTCCCCCCCCTTGTCCCCGCTTCCGCCTTTGCGGCCTTGCGGCTTTGCTTCTTGCCACATGTCTCTGCTCTGGGATAGGTCGACACGAAGAGATGCTTTGTCCGGGAGGCATGGGGTAACCATGAGCATTAAAAGCAAGTTGTTTCTGGCTTGGTCCGCACTTGAGTCAGGTTGGCAAGGATCTGGGCCCCGTGAAGCGGAAGTTCACCGCCATCCTCACTGGGTCCTGTCCTCGGCTGTTTGGCTCACGCTCACTGCTTTGGAGAAGCATTTGGAGCTCCTGCGCGAGGAAACCTCCGGAGGCTCGCAGAAGCCCGAGCTTGGCGCATGCGGGCTGACACGCTGACGCCAGGCACCTGCAGGAATGGTGAGGAGTGGCACCGCACCTCAAAGAGGCTCCATTCCCGTCGAAGAACTTTGGTCTTTCGCTTCGTGCTATCTACTCGACAGGTGCTGGTGCTTCGTGGAGTCCGCCGAGTAGCAGATCCAAGCAGCGAACCCCGCCGCAGGATCAAAAAGCAGTGGGGACAAGTCATCTTCATGGAAGTGTTGTGTGCGTGCGCTTCCAACAGTATGGTAGTGCTGGTAGTGTTCTCCATCGGCATTCTAGTCGCAACTGTGTGGGGCCCCTGTACTTGTGCTGTGAAGCACGTTGCTTATCTCAGGATCCCTTTCATATCTCGGGCACTGTTGGCGGACTCTTATCTAGGTGAAGTGCGTGTTGCGACATTCACGTAACCTGTCGGTTTACATGTTGCTGTGGAAGCAATGGGCTTAACTCAGTTGCGGGCTTGGCATTCTGGTGCTATCCTTCGTCTCCTTTCTGTTCTTCTTGCCATCGGCTTCGTCCGGATGAGAGCAACAGCAACAGCAGCAGCAGCAGCAGCAACAGCAACAGCAGCATTTCATTCGCACGGGGTGAAAAGCTTCCTCGCTTTGCGAGTNNNACTCTACTGGCTTTGTTTGTTGCGGGCCCGTCTCAGCTGCGCTGCTGGCCGTGCCTCAGCCCTGCGCCAGCACTCGTCCCGCCTCTGAAGGCAGCAGACTACGTCTCTGAGAGGCTTGACGGCACAAAACAGGGCTTGCAAGCGATGTGAGCATCTGTTCTGATGCTGTCAGTTCTTTTCAGAGGCAAGCCACAGCATTTCTGGTCATCTTCTGTCACGACTACTCTGCTTGAGGAGCATCACCTCTGATAACGATTTCTACATTGAAGAGGAGCTTTCCTGGCAGGTGCACCCTCAGGGTGGGCAGCTCTGGTGAAAGAGTATTTGATTCCAGCACGGTTCCTATGGGGTTCAGCGTGGAGTCCGACGCCGATGCCGGCGCTGAGGTGATAACTTCCACCGTTCCCGTGCCACCATGTGTTAGCATAGTTGGAGCTGCCTTCGCTGGAGCTGTTCGTTTCGGGGGAGGAGCTCCACCCATCCGCTCAGCTGTGACTGAGGGAGGCAAATTAACTGGCTTTGGAGGGGGAGATCCTGCTGGTGGCTCCGAGGAGGACCTAGGAGCTCCCATCACCAGATTGCGTCCTGTAGGCGGAGCTTTCGCTCCG